CGACACACACACACACACACACACACACACACACACACACACACACACACACACACACACACACACACACACACACACACACACACACACACACACACACACACACACACACACACACACTGACGATGGTGAAGGGCGAGCGTTTGTCTGCGCCAGTTGCGCGCCTGTTCCAGTGCCACTACAATCAGCAATGCGATGGCGATGATGACGGTGGTGATGGTGGAGACGTGCTTGCGCTGTGCGGCATTGCCAGAAGCGCTGCAGGGCCGTGTTGGCCACGAATGACGCTCCTCTTGCAAGCCATGCAGAAGCTTCACGGTGGTGATGGTGCCAGCCAGCGCGATGACGACTCATTGGATGGACGTGCCGTGTACGCTGCTGCCATGGCGCTCTCTCGCCTACTGCAGCAGCAGTGGTCAGGTAGCTACGACGGGCACTGCGCTCATCCGTTCAGTCATCAGGATGAAGACGGCACAGCTGAGCACGATGCAGACCTGCTAACTGAGGATGCAATTGCGCTCGGGCTGCGCGTGACGGCTGCGCTGGAGACCGACCTGCGCCACGCCTTGAAGCACGCCGCGTCTGCCAGTGAGGCCCGCCAGTGCCACCTGCTGCGACAGGTCATCCAGCACCCGGCCATCGGCCAGCGCATTGGATACGAGTGTCAGACGTTGCTGCTCATCGTCGCCGGCCCACCACAGAGCCTCAACCTGCGCAACCTCCTCTGGCATGGGTTCCTGGACCAGGGCGACTTACCTGCACCCATGCTCGGCTTGCTCTGCGCAGTCGCCTCTCACGTGCACGCTGCTGTCTCCGCCACATGTGGCCCGCCCCCGTTCCGCCCCAAGCTGTCCAGACCGCTGCCCATCTCCATCCAAACGGGCACCGACGTGTCACAGCCACAGTCATTCCTTGCATGGGCAGGGGAGATGCGCGATGCCAACGCTGTCACTGCCCTTCGACACGGCGACGCTGGACGCTTCTACAACGCCTGCGCCCTCATGCTCGTGTCCATCGAGCACCAGCTCCGCCTCGTACGTTGCAGTGTGTGCGTGTGTGTGTATGTATGTGTGTGTACGTGTGTGTGTGTACGTGTGTATGTGTGTGTATGTGTGTGTATGTGTGTGTGTGTGTGTGTGTGTGTGTGTGTGTGTGTGTGTGTGTGTGTGTGTGTGAGTGCACTCCCCACTGCGTCCTTGCTGGTGCCCACTGCCCTCTAATGCATGTTTTCCCCATCCACACCCACATGCTGGGCACTGCAGTGGTTTGCCAAGGCCAATGGCTGCGAGGAGCGAGCTGTAACCGCCATGAACAGCGAGCTCTTCACCACCTTTGACCACATCCTCAGCCCTCGCGTTGCCCGTCCTTCAGGCCATGACACACATGACGATGATGGTGGTGATGATGTTCAGCCGAATGCCCTGTGGCGGCATCTCGGGCCAGGCGTCATTGAACTCTTGTACGACCTCCTCGTCTTGCCCAAGGTAAACGCGGATGCACGTGTGTTGCGCATGCGCATGTGTGTGCGTGTGTGTGCGCGCGCGTGTGTGTGTGTGTGCAAGCAAGATGGAGACGAGGGAGAGGATGACAGACATGCACAGATACGCACACACACATGCGTGCACACACACATGCACGCACACACACACACACACAGACACACACACTAACTTGAACTGCTGCTGCGCTGTGGATGGTACAGGGACCTCGGTTGCGTGATCGCTTGAGCCATGGCAACATCGCAGACATCAGGCACGCGTCGTGGTGGCAGTGCGTGGCGCACATTGGCCGCGCCGTGCACACGCACAACACATGCACGCCTCAGTTCAGTAGGTACACCAGCACACTTCACCCGGCATACGACACGCAGCACCACCTCGCCCGTTCATGGGCTGTGCTCAACACGCTACACGCCGCGTACAACGCATGCCTTCCCACACACGGCAGCAGCACCCGTGGCAACGACAGTTGTGATGATGTTGAACAGAGAAGTCGTACAAGCCACCACAACGCTTCCAGCAGCGAACCTGAAGAAGAAGACAAAGACGATGACGATGACAATGATGATACATCAGGGCCAGCGCTGCCCACATCGGCACACCGCATCCTCTCTCAAGTCGTCAGCGACGATGACAGCGGTGATGAGTTGCAAAGCACTGCACAGCAGCTGCAACAACTCTTCCTTGGCGCATATCACGGTGAACGTAGCACCACCACCACCACCAACAACAACCACAGCAGCAGCAGCAGCCAGCAGAGGAATGAAGGGCATGCTGAGCGCTGTCACTGTGCAGAGGCAGACATCGTCGCAGCCCTGGAGCAGGTCCCAGCTTCCATGTTTGAGGCCAAGTGGTGGACGGAGCACAGCGGCGACGCCGTTGTATCCGCTGTCATGCACACGCACAACCGCAATTTGAACCCACGCGCATATGTACGTGGAATCACCCTCTCCGCCCCAAAGCGGAGACAGGGGCAGCAGCAGCAGCAGCAGCAGCAGCAGCAGCAGCAGCGCAGGGGAGCAAGGCGTGATGGAGACATTCGTTGTGCAGGGTGCAGCGTGGTGGTGCCATGTTCTCGTGATGATGCCAAGGATGATGATGATGACGATGATGATGATGATGACGATGATGACGATGGCAATCACAATGACGCCGCGCGTGTGTGCACGTGGTTGCGCTTCGTGCCGGCGTGTGGACGGCTGGCGGTGCTTGACGCAACTCGCGAGCAGAGCAAACTGGTCAACGCCATTCACAAGTGCGCGAGCACGCTGCACCGCACGTGTGCGCGCGTGTGCGAGACGTGGGTTACGCGAATGGCGGCGGAGGCACGTGGCCGCATCTCCACGCGTGGATACATTGCCCACGGAAAGATGCAGCGGGTCATCCCTGTTGTCGTGCGCACGCTGCGGTTGGTGGCGCTGGCACTCAGCTGTGGAGCTCTGTGCCTGCAGGCACGGCGGCGCGTACGGATGCTA